CCTAAACCCTAAACCTTACAGACTGAATCCATGGTCATCCCATGGAGGCGATCTGGAAAGGAGCCGCCGCTGAGCGAAACCCTGGGCTTAAGGAATGAGAAGGCCCGGTATAAGTGAAAGTGAGGGTTTAGGGTTTAGGATTCAGGGTTCAGGGTTTAGGGTTCAGGGTTTAGGGTTCAGGGTTCAGGGTTTAGGATCTAGTGTTTAGGTCTCAGGGTTTAGGGTTTAGGCTTCCTTTTGGCCATGTAGTAGTCCCTATATAACCCCCCAGCAACACAGTAGCTTCCATTTCCTTTTCCATTCCGAAATTCCCTGCTAGCCAGTGATGAAACGGTGTTTGCATGGCTATTAGGCAACAGATAATGACGCCTCTAAGCCCTAAATTCTAATGTTTCAGCTGACAGGACATCCTGTGGCGGGAGCTGTTGAAGCTGTTCTGGTGCCTCGGCTGTCGTGAACTGCTCGCGCTGACTATATAACCCGTATATAACATCTTTATAGGGTAGTTTGCATTTCATTTTCCATCTGATGTTCCGTGATCCCGCACCCCTCCCCCCCATAGATCCCGAAAATCACCGTAGCCCTGTCTGCTGCACTTTGCATTGTGCTTTGCGGCACTGTCGTGCTGTCAAACGCCGGCCTGATCACTCAACAGAAGACAGGGAACTGAGGCCACAGCAACCTGAACCACCGCTCCTAAACCTTAAACCCTGAACCCTACACCCTAAATAGTAGTTTCCATTCTCTTTTCCATTATCCATATATCCCCAATAATATACTTAAGGGGGGACTATACCTTAAGCTACCCTAAACCTTTAGCTGCTTGCCGCTGTGCAGGAACAACACCAAGTATGGCGGGAATGGGAGTGCAACTGGGTTGCTGTTAAGGAACTTCATTTAAGTTACTATATTGGGGAAACCCTATAAGTTATTATATATATATACCCGTTCTGGTAACTTAACTTGAATTACTATATTGGGGAAGCCCTATAAATTGCTATATGTACCCATTATGGTAACTTAATTTAAGTTCCTTAACAGCAACCCAGGCCATTCGTGTTCCCCAGCCTGGCCCTGCCCTGGCGACGGCTTTGTGGCTGGAGGACCCAACCTTCTCGGCTCAGAATATTCTAGTTTATTCTATTATATGATATTATAGTATATTAAAGTAGACTGTATGATATTATAGTATATTCTAGTATAGAAGGGAGTGAATCTTGAGCCACTTCCATTCAACATCTCCTCCTCCTTGACTCGACACCCTAGACCCTGAACCCCCTAAACCCTAAACCCCAAACCCTAAAGCCTAAACCCCAAACCCCAAACCCTAAATCCTAAACCCTAAACCCTAAACCCCAAACCCTAAATCCCAAATACTAAGGGAGCAGTTGCTTGCAACTCACAGCATCTCGTCGCCTCGTTTGAAGGAGACTGGTGCTCCAGCAGCAGAGGTTGCGGCTGCTCTTGCGCAGGCGTGGAAGATAGGGTTCAGGGTTTAGGGTTTGGGGGTCTAGGGGTGGAGGGTTTAGTGGTTTAGGGTTTAGGGTTTGGCGGTTTAGGGGGTGGAGGGTTTAGGAGTTTAGGGTTTGGGGGTTTAGTGGGTGGAGGGTTTAGGCGTTTCGGGTTTAAGGTTTGGGGGTTTAGGGGGTGGAGGGTTTAGGCGTTTCGGGTTTAGGGTTTGGGGGTTTAGGGTGTGGAGGGTTTAGGGGTTTAGGGGTTTAGAGGTTTAGGGGTTTAGGGGTTTCGGATTTAGGGTTTCAGGGTTTAGGGGTTTAGGGTTTAGGGATATTGGGGGTTGTAAGAGGATAATTTAAGGAGGAATTATGTAGGGTTATACAGGGTTTAGGGATTACGGCTTAGGGATCAGGGTTTAGGGTTTAGGGATATCACCCCTCAATAAATGGAGAATCAAATTTGGGGTCCCTTTTAGAGGTTCCAATAGTAAGGGTAAACGTATACATGTGTTGATATTGAGGTCTCCCCTGCTACAGACACTGCCAACATGTGGTGCGACCAGAGAAGCTCAAGTGGAAAAGAACATGGAAGTTGAAATAAAAACGGGCTTTTACAAAGATTCCATAGAGTGTTCAGGAACTCAAAACGAAACAGAGTTACCATCATAAGGAAATCCTTGTTCTGTGACATTGTGCCAACTGAGATTTAATCCCTTAACAGCACCACAGGAAAAGCAGCTTCTGTGCCATGTGCATAAAAGTGCACCTCGTGAGATGTTGCCTCCTTCTACCTGGTGCTTGATGATGGGGAAGGGAGGGAGTGATCCTTCTTGGTTTAGGGTTTTTATGGTGTACTTTGGGGTTGTAGTTTCCACATGAACCCCAAGACGCCCCACAATACATTTACCCATTGCTTGTGAAGCACCAGTTCTGGTAGGCTGGGCATTGGCGTCTGGTGCAACAGGCGCCTGTTGTGGCTTCTGACGGTTTTGAAATAGGGCCTTAGAACACACCTGTGGCCTGTGGCAGCTTAAGCAATCGAGCTGGGAATATCCGGATGAAGCAAGCAGTTCTGTGATCAAGACAGGTTTTGAAGCAGGGACACGTTTCGAGTTTATACTCCCGTGCAATACCATTGTTCCCCAAAAACGGATTGCCAAAGCGTGACCCATAAGTCTGAGAAATTCGAAGCCCCAAATGCGCTGGCACATACCCCGCTGGCACATACCCCGTAGTGAGCCTCCTTATACAATCTCAAGATATCCCTGTATCATTTTTATGTCCAAGGGATTTTCAGGTGGGTAGTTTCCCCAACATGCGCCTTCCCTAGCCCTGACAAGCTCAAAGTTCTCTCCATACGAGCCCTGTGTAGGCCTTGTGTAAAGTACACGCATAGCAACTCCCCACCTAAAAGCCCAACTCCCCATGTAACCCTGCATATCCCCATATCCCTGTACATCCCCAGAAAATTCCCGCCCCACCTGAAAATCCTAAACTCTAACCAGCAAACCTTAAACGCTGAACCCAACACCCCAAACCCTAAACCCCAAACCCTGAACCCTAAACCCCGAACCCTGAACCCTAAACCCTAAACCCTATTCCTGACAGGGCACTCTGGCCGCACTGCAAGCCTTAGGGGATCGCCTCGTGGATTCCCTGCTGGCAGGAGTTCTCCCTGGACAGGCCCAGGGGTTTAAACTCCTGAAAGGGAGATTATATGAGGATTATATAGGCTGGGTTGAAAGGGAGTTTATATAGGGGATTATATAGGGTTTAGGAATTAGGCGTTTAGGGTTCAGGGAAGAAAGTGTAGGGTTGAGGGAATAAGTGGGGGCTTGTGGCTTAGAATCCCAGTAGCAGGGATTCAGGCTTGAGGGTTGGAAGTCTGGACGGGGCTTTGCTGGGTAGAGGAATTTGAAAGGCATAATTGAGGCTCCAAAGATGTTGTTGATGGTGGCTTCTTGTTTGGGGGGTCCGGATTGAAGGTCAATGTACTTTGTTGGCTTGTTGCAAGTCTGGCGTCAGTACTTGCGTTACAAAGAATGCCTTGCTGATGTGGCGCTAAGTCGGCGTACATTTCTGGCTCATGAATGCAGCAACCTGCACACGCGTGCTTCGTATCATAGAGGAGATCCCAGCAGTAGTTTGGATACTGTCCCCCTTAGTACAGCTGCATACTGCAATCAATGAGTCACAGTTTCATGTAAAGCCCCCTGTGTTTAACAGTGGGTGGATGCTTGCAGATACTTATTCCTCCACATTATCCCAGTTTCCATTTCATTTTCCTCTGATTCTGCATTTGTTGCAGTCGTACAGCTTGACCCTATGTAATCCTTACATCACCTGATCTCATGCCTGTAAAACCCTAGACAATCAAAATAATCCTTACATAAGCCCTCTGTATATCCGGCAGGTGGTGGTTGTTAGAAAGGTCCTTGTAAAGAAGGGACCATTGAAGGGGTCCTAGCCAAACGGGAAGCTTTTGGTCACTTTGGGGCCAAGTATTTTGAACAAGTAATCCCCTCCCCGTAATATTAAACCCCTCCACCCCTCAAATATTACATATTCCCAATACAATGGGGAGTATTCAATGTAGGGGGGGGGTGTAATATTAGGGGATGGGATCCTAAACCCTAAATAGCAACGCTAATTCCATCTCGAGGCCCCCCGGACAGTGGATTCCTTGCCTGTGGCTACCTACTGGGCTGCGCCGCTGCCCGCCAGCAATTTGCTAGCTTCCCCCACCTTATGTCGGGTTTACTTGGAGGGTCAGGGGGACTTAGTGAGTAGGTTCATAAGGTGATAACTGGGTTATTATATGGGTTATAGGGATTATTAACTAACTTACTAAGTCCCACAGACCCTGAAAGTAGGGTGAAGGCAAGGGTTATAATTCCCTCCCCCTAAAATTGTTCATATCCCTCAGGAATTAGTTTCATATTTGGTGATTATTTCTGTGAACTACTGACCAGCACTTTTATGAAAGGGTCTAAGGGGACTGCGGAATAATCGACCCCCACCGACCCCACATGATGAACATTCTTCCTAAGATTAACGGGACTTTACTGGGAACCCCAAACAGCGAACTCCAAGAATATAGTAGGAATGTATTAGGAATATACCTACCAGGATCCTTTTATTCTATTCTATTCTATTCTATTCTATTCCTACTATATTCTTGGGGTTCCCTGTTTGGAGTTCCCAAAAGAACACTTTTAAACATGTAATTGTACCACATTTGGGGGTGGTTATAAATAGGGGGCTAGGGGGCTGTTATTATGGGAGGGGATCAACATTGAATTGAAGCCCCCAGACATGATCAACACTACAAAGACTAGTGTCCTCAAAAAGCGGACCATATCTAGGCAATCAAGGAATATGGAAAAGGAGTTCATACTGACTACGATGGGGATCCTTGCCGCACTGAGCTTAGTAAAAAATCGAAGTCCCGTACACAACCTTGCAAATCCGGTGTCCATGTCATGTTCAATTTTCTTTTTCAGGTGACACTCCATTCCAAACGCGCTGCATCGCCGGGTTCCCTAAAATTAGGAGTACCTTTTGGGGGTCCCTATAATAAGGACTATTCTATTTTGGGGTCTATATTTGGCGCCCCCACTTGGCGAAAATACCATATTCCTGTGTATCCCACCAGAACAAGTTTCTCAGGAGCGTCCTGGAGACAAACGCTTCGCAGAGCAGGAGAAGGGAACCTGCAATTTTGGCAGCCAGCAACGCGGCGGGTCGGGGGACATAGTAAGTAGGTTAATAATGCCTATAAACCCCTAGTTATCCCGCTTATTAACCTATTTGCTAAGTCCCCCTGACCTTCCAAGTAGGGTTTAGGTCATTATCTACCTTGTGCACATAATTATAGCCTCGATTTGGCGCCTTCTAGAAGTCCCTATAATATATATATATATATATAGCTCATGCACCCAATTGCTCGCTGACCACCCCGACCCTCAACACTATCGTAGTTTGTACTTTGCTTTCCTGTTCCCACGAAGCACCAGGGGGCGGCCGTATGATTCCTACTCAGGACCCTCACTATCCCAGTATCTTAGGGGCCCTCAGTTTTGAGAAAGTCCCATATGCCTGCCTCTTACGTACCCTAAACCCTAAAGCCCTAAACCCTAAAACCCTACAACCCTAAACCCTAAACCCTCAACCTTAAGCCCTAAGCCCTCAACCCAACCAACCAAGCTTGCTTCAGGACTGGGATTGCTTCGCTGGCGCTCGACTCTCTGGGCACGTGGCGTGGACAAGTTTCATGATGTCCAAAACTGGTGGCGCCCTCCATATGCCCCGACAAAATAAGGTTCAGGATTTAGGGTTTTGGGATATAATCCTGGATAGTATGAGGACCTCCAAAATGGACCCCATCCGCCAATTCTGACAAACGGTCAAAACCTCGAGCATCCGTTGGGCCTTTTGAGTCATCGTTGGGTTTTCGCGCAGATGGTGGTGATGATGCTCATGGAATTTGCCAGTAGCGGGCAGTTTTCCAAAATACTTGTCCACAAAATGACAATAAGCTAGGTTCCCTGGACCTTGAGAACAACCCTGAACCCTAAACTCTAAACCCTAAACCTAAAACCCTAAAGCGTAAACCGTAAAGCCCTAAACCCTTGAAGGGGACCCCCAGAATCTCAGAATGAGCCCCTGCAGTCTTTGTTGATATCACTGCTGGCCCAGGCAGATTGAGCTTGAGTACCAGGCGTTGCATTCTCAGCATTTATATGAGCTATAGTTTAAACTGCTTAAAAGGGATTATATGATGTAGGGTTTAGGGTCTAAACTCCTTAAAGGGGGTCATATAGTGGATAGTGTGGTCCCCTTTTGGGTTCCCTAAATATTAGGTGCCGCATGATAACAGGGACCCAAAAAGGGACCATAATTTTGACAACCACCTGTTTGATTCTCCATCATTGGGGTGGTATCGTTAAACATATGATCCCTATATCACCCCTAAATGCCCTTAATCTAAGTATAATATGATCCCCGTATAGCCCTTAACCCTAAACACTAAACTCAATCATGGTTGTCAAAGGGTCCCCACATTGAAGGTCTCTTCAATCAGGCCCTCGTTTAGGGTTAAGGGCTTCGGATCCTTCAGAAAGCACCTGCAACTCCCTCAAGTTTAGGGTTTAGGGTTTATGGTTCAGTGTTTAGGGTTCTCATGCTCCTTATCCCTAATATTAGCGCCCGGCCCCCTGAGAATAGAGATCCCCCTTAATAGAAAATGGTATTTCTTGGTGGTGTTTATTATTAGGTTTGGATGCACCATCATCTCATTTCTTTTTGGGGCGCGGAAGTCCGCGAAATTATAGAGTAGCATTCTATCTTCTTTATGCATGGTGTCTTCCAAGACGAATTCAATCTTATTTGGTGCAACTGCTAGAAGCAACACTACTCAGGTCAGAGTCACCCGTTTCTGACTCGCAGCTGCCTGGAGGTCTCCCCTACAAGGCAAGACTTGCTTCAAGGTTTTGGGGAGCTGCGACTTTGTATAATGCAGGGGTTTGGATGGGGTTTGTAAGGAAGCCCTATGGGAACTCCATGCAAGGGGGGCCCCTTTAAGATAGGGACTCCATGTAAGGGGGCCTCAAGGTATGAGACCTTGATTGAGGAGTTATAGATAGCCCTTGATATGGGCCCCCCTGTAGGATTCCTTGATCGTGCGTTTCGTCGAGTGGGTTTTGAAAATGGGAGTTTCCCAACTTACAGGTCTCGCTCCGCGAGCCACTTTGACAAGGATCGGCCCGAGGATTAGAATATGCAGCGGTTTATTGGGATCTGTATTTGGGCCTGAATTTCTATGGAAAATCTTCAAATGAGAGGACATCCTTGAAGTAAGAGCTGCCCTCACTTGCTGCTCCGAGTTCTTGCGAACATGTAATCCCTATATAGTCCCTATATAGAGTAATTCCAAAACCCTTAATCCCCTAAACTCCTCAACCCTAAGCCCTTATTTAATCCCCTACACCCTAAACCCTTGATTCCTTATTCCCTACTGCCCCCCCAGTAAGTGTAGCTACAGAAATTTCGGCTCTAACCTCCGCTGTGCTGGGAGGCGCCGCTGGGGGTGCTGCGATGGAAAAACAGGAGCTGAGTCCTCGACTGCCTAATGCAAAAGCTTAAGTAAAGGGGGTTACGGGGTCTAGGGCATAGGGTTTAGGGTATATTTTTCTATGGGGGGATATATGGATCATATAGGGATAAATAGTGTTTAGGGGAATTGCGGGAATCAAATGGAAACGAACATGGAACATGAAATGGAAAATGGGTTTAGGTCGGGCTCTCTGGCGAGAATTTACATTATTATGGTCCCAGAGTCCTTGTATATTTATGGGATAGGGTTTAGGGTTTAGGGTTTAGGTAGGGGACTTGAAATAGACCTCGACATGATATTGGTCATTTTTAAGCCCTTTTTCCTTCGAGTGCTAGCGACCGAAAGGACTCAAGGGAGTTATGCGGATTGGTAGTTTCAATAAAAGGGAGAGCCCATTTGACCTACCAAACCCCAAAAGGTACCCTTAATTTTGGATTCGTAGGATTTCAGAAATCTCCCTACAGGACTCTTTTTATGGGACGACCATGCATGGCCATGTGTGGGGAGGGGTTTCAACAATGAACAAAGACGCCAATATATGAATAGATGAGAGGGTATATCGGGGTTATAGAGGGTTTGGGGCTAAGCTACTATGATACTGAGGATGCAAATGCTCAGTCTGGGGGCTTCCCAAAGTTTCAAAGGGGGCCCCACACCCTAAAACCCTAAACCCTAAAACCCTAAACCCTAAAACCCTAACCCCTAGTCTTAAGATGAGCTTTAAGGCCACAACCTCTACTCCAAGATGGACCCATCTGTCCGTGTCCACAGCGACGTGGCGCCTGCAGCTGCATTGGAAGCTGAAACTCCTTGCAGAACTCCTCTGTTTCCATTTCATCTTGCATTTTTCGTGATTAAGAAGCTCCAGAAGCGTAACCCCCATATGTCCCCATATATCCTTTATATCTGTATCTATGTATACATATAAGGCTAGACACCTACATATCCCATCATATCCCTCTACATTTGCATATGTATATATATGTACATAGATCCCTACATATCCCTGTATATCCCTTTACATCCCCTTACATCCTGTGAGGTGCAGCTGCAACTGCTGGCCAGCAGCTTAGAGCCTGCGGGATCCAACCTTACCAAGCTGCGGTACCGCTTCATGGCGGGACACTCAGCTGGGGTGGCGGTAAGAAGGTTGCGGGTTAGGATTTAGGGTTGGGTTTCCCCTTAAAGGGGTTCTAGGGGTTTAGGATTTAGGGTTGGGTTCCCCTTAAAGGGGTTCTAGGGTTTAGGGTTTAGGGTTGGGTTCCCCTGAAAGGGGTTGGAGGTTTACGGTTTAGGATTTGGGGTTAGTTATAGGGGTTATGTGCGGTAGTCTAGGTCAAGTATGTAGGAATACTCGGCATTCCTTACTATGGTGGCGTAGTCTAAGGTCTTGAGCAGCAACGCAGCATTCGCAGAAAGAGCCTTTGTACTACCTTAAACAAGGGCCCCCAAATTATCCTTACCCTGGACCCCAAACCGCAATGCTTATCCTGCGTTCCCTAGAAACCCGCAATTTTGAGAAAACCCAATCCCTAAGGATGATCAAAGCTTGGTGGCACCCGTAGCTCTCAGCATAGAGAATTTGGGGAACGTAGATTAAGCTCCTGAAAACCCTTGCATAGCTATATGAGTTTTCCAAAAACACGAGGCCGCAATATAAGCTCCCATAGGGGAATTCTTATTGAAGGGAACCCCCAAAGGGACGCCTCAAGTTTTGGAAGCCTCCACATTGTGGCATGCCCCGAAACCCCATTTGGGGCCCCATTCGTCTTTAATTGGCCCTTACACTTTAGGTGGACGCCAGACCCTGTAATAGTGATATAGCGGTCTAATAGGACTGTAAGAGGACCCTTCTAGAATGGTATTTTCCCAAAATAGGGGGACCCTCATACAGACCCCAAAATGCTATAATCGTTATTGTAGGGACCCCCAAAAAGGTATCCCTTACGTGGGAAACTCCCAATCACCATCATGTCCACCTAAACCCCTAAACCCTAAACCACTAAACCCTAAACCCTAAATCCTAAACCCGTAAACTCGTATTGCAGGTGCCTGAGCCAACGCAGCTGACGGGATGTGCAGCGGTCCGGCCGGCCAAGGTGGCTAGCCAACTGTGATGTAGGGTTTAGGGTTTAGGGATTGGGGTTTAGGGTTTAGGATTTAGGGTTTGGGGTTCAGGATTTAGGGTTTAGGGTTAAGGGTTTAGGGTTGTTATCCTTTCTGGTGGTTGTCTATAGAGGGTTCTTTGTGAATATCGGGGCGTGTAGATAAATATTTGGTGTCCAATTTAGGCGGCCAGAAATTAGATCCGACCAGATGCGGGCATTTCATCCCAACCGAAATGTTCGGGTATGAAAAGGGAGCCCTTCTTTTGTAAACCTTCAGCCTGAATAATTACTGTGAAGGTTCTAGGTTCCTTGTGTGGAGACGTGAATGAGATAACTCAAATAGAATTCAAAATGTCATGCTACCCCAACCTAAGTAGTGCTTATTCACCAAGGGAGGTGGTATTGCTGGTATCAGGTGGGTGTTGACCAACACTCCTTGGGGGAGTGCCGACAATAAGGACTTTAGTGTATTGGAGTCTGTATTGAGCTCCCCACTTGACTTGTGGAAGCCCTCATGTCATCCAGTTTCCATTTCATGTTCCATCTCGTTGTTAATATCCCTAGACCCTTTAGAATCCTTTAACATCTTAACATCTCTATACAATCCCCATATAACACTATAGATCAGCAACGTGCAGCCTAAACCCTGATCCGTGGGGAGCAGGACCGGCTGCAGCTTTGTTGCCACAACACCTCCAGCTCCATGCCAGGCCTGTCATGCGGCAGTCTGGCTATTAGGGTTTAGGGCTTAGGGATTAGGGTTTAGGTTTCGGGAACAGCAGCTCCCTAAGCCCTTGACCCTAAGCCCTTAATCCTACACCCTAAACTTTATACCCTCAACCCTAAAAGGTGAACCCTACAGTCTAAACCCTCAACCCTAAACCCTCAACCCTTAATCTTACACCCTAAACCCTAAACCCCACACCTCAAACCCTAAACCTTAAAGCATTCAGGCACCTTTGCGGACCTCTCTTGCTTGCGACCAAACACCTCCAGCTTGAATGCTGATGCGTCAAGCTCAGGACATATTCCGGGACCTACAGGGATCTATAGGAATCTATAGGGATCTATAGGGATTTATAGGGAGCTATAAGGATCTATAGGGATCTTTAGGGATCTATAGATGCATATGCTTGGCTTGCGCAACTTTGACAGAGTGACACACGGTGAATTCCTCAAAGGGGGATCCTAGGCAAAAAGGGAATCTAGCTTGTGGTCATTCTGGAGGACTTCCGCTTACCATATTTATTCGCCATTACTATTACAATTCAGTATTACTATTATTTACGGTTACTAGTCGTAATTAGTAAAGGCATGTAAAGGCATTGCCATCTTTATTTCTAACTACTGTTATCATAGTACCCTAAACCCTAAACCCTTGACCCCAAACCTTAAACTTCGATGCCTGAGGCCCCTTCCCGGCGTCTGGCAGAGCAGGGGCCGGGTCTTCTCGTGAGCGGCCGCAACTTGCAAAGCGAATCCAAGGTGGGAGTAAATGGGTTCAATTGCCCTAGAGTTCCCAAAATTAGGGGTACCTTTTAAAGGGTTATATAGGGATATGTAAGGATATTTGGGGTGCAGGGTTCAGGGTTCTTAAGGTTTATGGTTTAGGAAAGGTTTCAACTACTTGGTCCAACGAAGAGCAAGAGGAAGCTTAATGTGAACTCTGACATAGGAAGCGGGCATCGTGCAATTGGTGGGCAGCCGGGTACCCTTCCAAGCAGGCGCGGTTGTGGGCTTATGTCAAACGAGCCTGCTGTTCAGCAAGAGCTTGCTGGTTCTTAGTAGGGAACAAGAGAATATAAAATACAGGGATTTCAGAGGAGTATAATCCCTTATTCCCCACGAAGAGCTGCTAAGAGAACGGGTGCTGCTATGCAGCATCATATCAACCGCTTGTGAACAGAGGAGCTTCAAAGGGCTGAGTCCCTGAACCCCCCCCCAAAAAAAAAGAAAATTCTAAACCCAAAACCCTGAACCCTAAACCCTACACCCCAAACCCCGAACCCTAACCCCAGACACCCTAAACCCTAAACACCCTAAACCCTTAATCCCTTATTGCTTGAACCCTGAGGCCTCGAAAGCCTCCTGGAGGATGTGCGAATTTGGACGCCCTCAGCTCAACTGGTCACAGCCTTAGACCCATTTTACGGGTGGTTTCCGGAAATTAGGGGTTTGGGGTTTAGGGTTTAGGGGTTTAGGGTTTAGAGTCTCTAGAAGAAGGATTTTAGTATATTGGGGGTTTATACGGATTTGCTGATATCCGGAACTGCCCTTTGCTTCCTCAAGCTCATCTGCTTTAAGTTCAGAGCAATAGGATCAACATTAGTGTTGCTGGAGCTGCCGCTGTGTGCAAGAGAGAAGCAAAGAAAGCATTTTGTTCCGAGGTAATGATAGCAGGCACGCGTCTTCGACTTCAAGGAGGGAATGTTCAGGCACGTCCCGTGGATGTGACGCGCTGGGGGCATAGTAATCTGCCTACATGCTGCACTCCACTGCTTAGGGTTCAGGGTTTAGGTATGTCCTGCAAGGGGAGGGGCAAATCCTTAGTTTTAACTCCCGTGTTCTCCAATTTTCCATAATTGATTCTCCACTGTTGCGACAGTTTTCCGAAACCCTAAACCTTCAAGCTCAGAGTAAATAGACATTGGTTAGGGCGCTTCAATGCAAAACCCCAAACTCCACACAAAACCTGCCCAAAAAGTCAGGTGGATATACAATTTCTATAAACCCAAAGACCTACATAAATGCTAAACCCTAAACTAGTAAACCCTCTCCCCAAAGCCCAAAGCCCCCTGATGCAGGTGCAGCGTGCCTGCGACAGCCAAGGCGGGAACCAAGGTTTGCCACTTGCACAAGCCATCGTTAGCCCTAGGTATTGTTGATATATTTTTAGGGCTTAAGGTTTAGGGGTTTAGGGTTTTAGGGATTAGGGTTTTAGGGTTTCAGGGTTTAGGGCTTAGACCTTAAGGGAGTCCTATTGTTGATATAGATGTCCTGCATGACCTTGGTATACTGCAGTACCATAATTCCCCAGGTATAAGGAACTGAGGGTCATGCAAGATTTTAGTATCCGCCATGGGAAGCATTCAAGTTACCAGAGAGTTATGCCGGGGTCATATGGGCTTTAGTGATACGACCCCAATGATGGAGAATGAGAGTTTATAAGGTTTAGGGCTAAGGAGGAAACGCTCAAGTCATGGTTATAACTACGTGATAACTCATATCCGCTATAGTTAGATTTATAGTCCCCCTTAAGCAGATAGAATATGGGTATACGGGGATCTTATTATAGTATATCCAAAGCCATATTCTGTCTACTTAAGGTGGACTATAAACCCTAAACCTTAAATAGTAGTTTCCATTTTCCTTTCCATTATCCCTATATAACCCCAATACAACCCATTATAGTAGCTTCCATTTTCTTTTCCATTATCCTAATATACCCCTTTTTGACCCCGTGTTTGTTTCGCAATCAACTTACCGAAGAGTCCGAAGTTCCCGCCAAGGGAGCAGGGCCTCTATGGGTGCTTCTTTCCCTGGGAGCTTGTGGCTGCTTCGGAACCCTAAACCCCAGACCTTGGGGTGTAGGGTTTTAGGGTTTAGGGTTTAGGGGTTTAGGGTGTAGGGGTTTAGAGTGTAGGGGTTTAGGGTGTAGGGGTTTAGGGGGTTTAGGTTTAGGGATTTAGGATTTAGGGTTTGAGGGTTTTAGGATTTAGGATTTGGGATTTTGGGTTTAGGGTTTTGCCTTGGGCCAGGGAACGCAGCCTCGCGCTTGGTCATCCGGGACGGGACGCTCCTCCAGAGCCCAGATACAGGCCGCGCGCATTTGTGGAGGGGTTGAGGGTTTAAGGTTTAGGGTTTAGCGTTTCGGGGCTTGAGGAAATGAACATTGCCCGTGATTTGAAGCCAGGTACAATAGGAAACTAGCTTGATGTGGGAGCTTTCAACATTACCCCAAACTCTCCTGAAAGGGGACCCCCAACAATTCTTGCTTAGTCCCGACATACCCCCAGGGTCCCTAAAGCTTGAGAAAACCGCGTGTCCAAGAGATTGGATTCGCATTTCCTTCCAAAGCAGCATGAAGGTCATAATTTGGGTGCTGCCCCCACCCAGCAACAGTCTATATTAGGGGTCCTATTAAGGGCTATATATAATCATATTATAATGTTTACCCAACTGTTACTGGGGGAGGCAGTACCCAAGTCATAATGGACGCTGTCAAAGCAATCCTCGGTCTGCGAAGCTCGCGCTTTTTTACAGATATTATATAGGGATAATGGAAAAGAAATGGGAACTACTACAGTATATTAGGGTTCTTATTGGGATTATATGGTCATATCCTGCAGTGCCGTACATACAACGCTGGTGTCTCCTTAGCACAGTTTACAGAACAACTTCGCGTAGGTTGGGCGACGCATGCCTGGTGCCAAACAGTCTTTGAGCGGGCGAAGGTTTTGCAGGCAACCGTGCCGGCCCCAGAGCAGCGAAATCAGAGCGTAGCTGTGACCACTTTGGGCAGGGAATTGAATGATTACATCGAGTCTTGCCTGTGGTAGCCGAAGAGCAACTTCCAGTGCGAACATAAGCCTTGGCGCTCATAGCGCCACCTTGACAACTCCATCTCTCTGTGAATGTGAGCTGCGTCGAGATGCCAGAGCCCAGTGAAGCAGCATTTATACTAAACCCCTAAGCCCCATTATCAACCCTAGGTGCCAGCTTGGCAAACTTTCGCAGATGCACTCGTACAGGCTGCCGAGGAGGCCCAGTGACGGGCAGAACCCTAAGTCCTAATCCGTAAAGCCCTAGTAGGGTTTAGGGTCTAAGGGTTTAGGGTTGGGCTTTGGGGTTTAGGGTTTTAGGGCTTAGGGTTTAGGGTGGAGGGGTTTAAGGCCCTAATAGGTTTGGTGTGGATCCTTGAAGGACAACACCCCAGGACCTCCCCAAACTCGCCATGTATCCCTGTGGTGTCTGAGCTGCCCCTTTTTTGCATTATTGTTGCAGACATGTCCAATCCTTGATGAGAGCCTGGTGTGGGTGGCACCCTGATCAGCATGCTCAACCTAGGGGTTTGGGACCAGGGGTTTGAGGCCCGGGCCCTCAGGGGCCCGGGGCCTGGGCCCCCAAGCGCAAATCATGCGCGGAGAAGAATCAAATCAATCGGCGCAACATTGCCGGGACCCTTTCCGCCCCCCCCCCCCACCCCTCGCGTTTTTGGAATAGGGGTTAAACACATATATAACATCAAAAAGAAAAGATCAAGCATCAACATATTGCTTATTTCCTGGGGAGTACACCAATCCGGAATGTTTTTTTCTGATGCATGGGCTTCGACCCTATACCATTTCTATTACCACGACTACTATTACCCTTCCCGCGGTCACCACCGTCACCACCGTCACCACCACCACCATCGCCGCCATCATCACCATCACCACCATAATTACCATCATCACCATCATCATCGCGTTTCTGGGCTTGTTCAAGCAGAAAAGCTCTCAGTCCTTCATAGCAACTTTCAGTAAACCAGACCCTGAACGTGTCATGTAAGTTTGTGTGGAAGATTGCCGGTACTAGCATAAGCAACTGTTTTTTTACTTGGCTCCTTCTTGTTTGGCTGGCAAGCACCTGTTTCGAGGTTTTTCTACGGATTCTACGGCCCGGATGTGCTGCAGACGCCAAGCGGACAACAGTTCTATCAGGGCTCTGCTTCAACTTGGAGATCAGATGACGGAGACATCCTCGAAGTGCCACCGCAAATGACCCTCGAGGCCTTCATGAGCGAGCACAGGGTCACTCCTACCATCACGATATGCGACTGCACGGGCGACAACATTCGAGGAAGCTGGAAGTCGTCTACGGCATTGGCCGACATTTATGCGCGGCACGCAAAGCATATTGATCAGTGCCGTCCGCTCATTTGAGCGCGTCATCTCGGACCAGCACACAATCATCAAAATGGACATCGAGGGCTCAGAGCTCGCCCTTTTGGCACGGCCTCGAGCTTGGCAACGAGTCCGCCGCGTTCTGGTCTTCGAATTCAGCGCGGCGTGCTGCCGCCATTTTGGGGTTGGTCCTTTGCCTTTTGTATCTGTCCTCGAGGCCTTTCGCCGAGGCGGCTTCACCCACCTGTCCATCCCTTGTCTTCAAAGGTCCGAAAGCCAGATTTCTGGAGATCCGACGCGCATGAAAAGCACCTCGATTTCATGGCGTGGTGTTATCGTGAGCAAGCTGATTCCGAGAATGACATCATCTGCGGTTGTGCAAGGCCGGAAATGACGGACAAGATGGACAGTCTTCCGGGCCACGTGCAGAGCATGCCATTTCCCGAGAAGCAAGCCACTCAGATCGCATCTGGATTAACTATGATTAACTCAGACTTTGTGTTTCGTTGTTTTCGTTGCAAGTATTGGGCTATGCCACAATTCTTATCCATAATCAAAACCAGTTTCAAACTTGGAGCCTTGCTGAACTCAGGCACTCAGCAGCGACCGCTACGTTTGCGTCAAGCAAGCAAAACCACCATCTGCGTGATCGTGGAGCTTCGGCTAGCCAATGGCGGTGGTGCTATTATAGGGTTTATTGAAACGGATACCAGGAGTTTTGACCCGAAGCCCTGAATCCTTTGCCCTCAACCCTGAACCCTAGGGCTACTAAGCTGAACAGGTTCTTGTCAAAGAGCTTACATGTGCCACGTTGAGAACTTGACCTACTTTTTCCTGTGGTAATATCGGTAGGGTTTAGAGTTGACGGCTTCTTCGAGCGGTTTTTATCCTATGCCTCCCTTTTCGGGGTATGTCAAGGCGATTGAAGCGCTATACCCCCAACCCCTAAACTCACAGAAGCTACTGCTTAGACTTCAAATTGAAGACGTCCCTGAAAGGCCTGTTCTGTCTGCAAGCTCCAACGCCAAATACTCGGAAACCCTCAGGACGTGGTGGACTTCATCAAGAAATGGCAGCAGCCAATTTCGTTTTGAGGGCTGAGGGTTTTGGGGCTCAGGGCTCGGGACAGGGCTTAAAAAACTTTATAAGCATCAAAAAGAAAACTTTTAAGCATCAAAACAATTTGTGTAAGCATCAATGACAAAACATATTGCTCATTTCCTGGGGGGTACACCAATCCGGAATGTTTTTTGTGATGCTTGGGCTTGGGCCCTACATCCGGGCGAAGCGAAAACAGAAAGCAGGGAAGGCTACCGCAACTACTATTACTCCTACTGCTACTAGTACTACTTCTATTACTACCGCTACTATGTGTTACCACCGTTACCACCACTACCACCCCGACGTGAATGAAAATGCGTTTTTTTTGACGCTTTCCTTTTGTCCTCGCCCTTCTAAATTTACCATTACCTAGACGTCAGTGTTTTTTTTGCTGCTTGCCTTTTGTTCGGGCCCTATTACGTTTAGAGCAAAAAAATTGTTTGATGTTTTTTTCATGCGCGGGGCGTATGCTTTTTGATGCTTATAAAGTGTTTAATGATCCCCCACCCGGCGTTTTTGGGCAGTAAGGGAGGAGCCCTTTCTGCTTATTGAAACCATCCAACACACCCCCCAAGGTCGGCGGATCTTTGTAGGGAATGGAGGAATGGAAATGAAAGTGGAAGTTAGGTTCAGGGTTGTGGAAAAGCAGATGCAAGATGAAATGCACACTGGTCTTATAAGGACATATGAGCCATAGTCTCAACTCTTAGTGTCCCCCTAAATAGCCCCTAAAATAGTCCCCTATAATCCCCATTAATCCCCTATATACCTATAACCCCTTTCAGGACTGTAGACTACCAGTTGGGCTTCGTGGCATGTTTTATTTTGTCACGCATGTTTTAGTTTTATTTACCTACACTTGGTAATGTTGCATTATTTCCGTAGCTTGGCTCAGCCGCAGGCTTAGAAATTTTCATGTTTTTCATCTGTCAGCCTTTCAGCGCAGCCCATAGCAGCCTTGCAGCTTCCACTTCAAAGCTTGACTTCGCACCTCTACTTCTACCTTGGTAGTACTTCCTCCCTGTGCCCTTATGGACGACCGCCCTGGCCATAGTTTCTTTGAGCCCGCAGGTCCCATTGAAGTTCTTGCCACACAGGACGAGGAAGAACATCGCAGCACAGCACCGCACTCAGCCGCAAGCAGTGCACACGACAGGCACTCCGCTGCCCTGGCAGGCACTCATGCTGCAGCCAGCTCAGAGCATACCCTGCATTCTGCACCCACCCTGGCTATAGTTCCGCATAGCAGCTCAAGCATTCCCAGCTTTGCGCGCTCTTTTGAGGCACCGCCCCGCAGATCCCCCTTTTCGCAACCCACCGTTGCGGACCTTTTTGCAGCAGTGCATCGTTTGGAGGACTGTGTGCACGCACTCACAGTTAACCAACGCAACATGTCTCTACAGCTCGGCCACTTGCACACGTCATTTGCAGAGCTCCAGCAGCACACAAGCAATCTCGAGCAACGCCTCGTTCGGCAAAGAGAAATGCAAGACGAACTCGACAGCAATGCATACAGTGCCCACACTCGCGTTGCAGACCTTCAAGGCATGCTTCGCAACCAAAGCGCAGCGCTGGAAGCGCTGCAACACCACATGGCAGGCCAAAGCAGCAACCTGGAGCAGCGCATCTCTCGCCTAAGGACTGCCCAGGAAGAGTTAGACAACACCGCACACAATGCACACGAACGCATTTCTGATGTGCCAAGCAATGTTCGCCAACAAAGCACTGCACTGGACGGACTGCAAGACACGCTGAGCCGGGCAACCACCGACATTCGACAACTCAGGCGACGCATCGGCCACGCACTGCAGGTTATGGGCACCCACATCGCA